GAAGCCTCGTTAGACTTATTCAGCAACTCAACATGTTGGCTAATTGTATTACGAATTAGATCCTATCTCAAATTCCACTCCCACAGCAATGGCATCACTGAATGCTACAGCTGTTTTTATGGCCACTGGAGTCTTTGGAATGCAGCTGCCTTTTAGGGCAGTACTTCTCCAAATAGAGAAGTTGCTTGCTGTTCAAAGCTCCACGCTGCTTTTGTCTTATGAATGTACTGAATCTTCATATTTTATTCCACCTTTGATTAACGCTGGGGCAACAAGCACCAGCACTCTCCCAAGGCTTGCAACACAATGTATGGCAAAACAGCCACCAGGTTCTGCAGAAAACTTACTTTTTACAAGACTTAACCAGTCATCAACAATCTGGTTGGATGGTGCTGCACCATCATTAAAAGGCCAGTCAAAGCATGGATTCCTTCTTTCTCCACAAGAGTAGTGTCCTTATCCATTGATGCAGACAACCTTTTCTTGATAAAAACTCTCAGCAAGGTGGGAATAGAAGGATCATACCTCAACATAATAAAAGCCTTATATGACAAACCCACAGCCAACATCATACTCAATGGGCAAAAACTAAAACCATTTCCCATAAGAACAGGAACAAGACAGGAATGCCCACTCTTACCACTCCCGTTTGACATAGTACTGGAAGTACTAGCCATTGCAATCAGACAAGAAGAAGAAATAAAAGGCATCCAAATTGGAAAAGAAGAAGTAAAACTGTCATTCGCAGATGACATGATATTGTACATAGAAAACCCCAAAGACTCCATCAAAAAACTACTGGACTTAATAAATGAATTTGGCAATGTAGCAGGATACAAAATTAACACCCAGAAGTCTATGGCTTTTCTATATTCCAATAATGAACTCGCAGAAAGAGAAATTAAAAAAGCAATCCCATTTACCATTGCAACAACAAAAAATAAGATACCTAGCAATAAACTTAACCAAGGAGATAAAGGACCTGTATTCAGAAAATTTCAGGACATTGAAAAAAGAGATGGAGGAAGACATGAACAAATGAAAGAATA